AAAAGTCGGTTCAAATAACACAAAAAATTACGTTACCATCTCTTAAGGCTGTGGCTTGTTCGGTAAAATATTTTACATTCTTATACTTAACGTTACTACGGGTGAGATTTTAGTGTGAATTATCTACTTACATTTTCAGTTTTTTTCGATACTTTATACGATAAACTATTTCTCAAAATTTAAAAATGGTGCACCCTGTATATTTCCACACCTTATGATTTACCTTTTCCTAAGCTTTTTCTGATATAGGGTTTATGGGGGGTTTGTATGACAGCTGCTGAAAACATAGGTACACCTTTTGACTTTATTGCATAACACTGGTCAACACTGGTTTTGCCACACGAACTTTGACAGCTAATTTTGTTTTATCAGTCTACCCTCATTATTACATGACAGCTGTCATATGTCTATTAGCCTCATATTTATTGTGATACGGTAATACTCATAACTAGTACTACGGCAGTAAATTAACAGAAACGCTTACAAGTAAATCCTTATAAAAATATTTGTTGTTGAATTTGAACACTTTTTTTGTGATTTATTAACCCTGTGAATATGTCGAGGAAGTGTAATAACGATCCTAACTCTTTTTGTTATGTCTGCGGAGAACTAACATTCAAAAAACAACGACGAAATTTTACGAATCTTGTGTTGGAGTGTTATCACCAATGTTTTGGTTTTTCTGTCGCCCATCAAGACAAATCCTGGGCCCCTCATGTCTGTTGCATAACGTGTGTGAAAAATTTAACTGACTGGAAGAAAGGTGCACGACCTATGCCGTTTGCTGTACCCATGATATAGACTGAACAGCAAGATCACGTTTCAGATTGCTATTTTTGTCTCACAGACATAAAAGGTATAAATTACAAGAAAAAAACCACAGTTATTTACCCTAACTTATCTTCGGCTATAAGACCAGTATCTCATTGTAAAAAATTGCCAGAACTAATACCAGTTGCAACCACGTCTGTTGAGAACAATTCACAACCGTCCACTTCAGGTGAATGTGTTGACGAGGACGATGACTTTGAGTTAAAAGGAATTGTAAACGAGCCACATTTGATAACTCAAGGAGACCTAAATGATTTGGTTCGGGATTTAAATTTGTCAAAAAAGCAGTCAGAACTATTAGGATCACGTCTAAAAGAATGGAATTTGCTACATCATAATACAAAAGTTAGCTATTTTCGAAACCGTGATCAACACTTCAGAACGTATTTTTCTCAGGTTGAAGATTTGGTGTTTTGCAATAACATAAATGAGATTATGAAAATGTTGGACATAGATTTTGATCTCTCTCAGTGGCGTTTATTCATTGATTCTTCGAAAGCAAGTCTAAAAGCAGTGTTATTGCATAATGGAAATAAGCTTCCGTCTGTACCTCTGGCCCATGCTGCAAATATGAAAGAAACCTATGAAAATATCAAACTTTTACTTGAAAAAATAAATTTCAGTACATATTCCTTCAAAATCTGCGGTGATCTTAAAGTTGTTGCACTATTACTTGGGCTTCAGCTGGGTTATACAAAGTTTTGCTGCTTTTTATGTGAATGGGATAGTCGAGACAGAACTAATCACTATATAAAAAAAACATGGCCTACGCGTGCATCGTTAGTTCCTGGGCAAAAAAACGTAAAGTATTTACCCCTTGTACAGCCAAATAATGTGCTTCTACCACCATTGCATATCAAATTAGGATTAATAAAAAATTTTGTGAAGGCAATGGATCGCAATGGGAGTGGATTTTGGTATCTAAAAGAAAAATTCCCTAAAATAAGTGATGCAAAGATAAAAGAGGGTATTTTTGTTGGCCCTCAAATTAGGGAGTTAATAAAAGATTCAAGATTTGAAGAAAAATTAAGCGATTTAGAAACATCTGCATGGAAGGCTTTTAAAAATGTTGTTGCAAATTTTTTGGGTAACCACAAGTGTGACAGCTACAGAGAGTTGGTTAGCGAGCTATTATTGTCATATCAAGCATTGGGTTGCAACATGTCACTTAAGATCCATTTTTTAGACTCGCACCTGATTTTTTTCCTGACAATTTAGGGGCTGTCAGCGACGAGCACGGTGAGAGGTTCCATCAGGACATTTCTAATATGGAAAAGCGGTACCAGGGCAAATGGAGCCCAAATATGTTAGCAGATTACTACTGGACAATTAAAAGGGACCAACCAGAAGCTAAATGTTCAAGAAAATCTTAGATTATTAAGTCATTTATAAAAAAAAATAACTTTTGATTTACGAGATCTGTGTTTTTTCTTAATATTTTAAATTACTCAATAGAATAAAATCCTTGTCTAGCAAATTTTTTTTAACTGTTTATTTTTTCTTACAATCACCAATTAAAGTAAAAAATATCAAAAAAGTCCGTGTGGCACGACAAAGTTAAAATTTTGTTGACCAGTGTAATTTATAATGAAAATACGACAATTCTAACGATCTGCCGTTGCCAACTAAATACTATTTTTTAGTTTGAAATGTATGATTTCATTGTTCATTCGCCTTGATATTTGATTTACGAAAAAAAGTTTGTGGAAATTGGAATCAAGGAATGTGAGAATACTCAGGGTGATCGATTTACAATTTTTGGGAAATCGTTCATTTTGCGTACTTGGCCACTCTGTATAACCTGTTGAAAAAACTGAAAAAGTAAGTGGATGGGAACAAAATATGACACCATAAATTTTTTTAACCAAAAACTCAGTACTCTAGCTATAACTCAACTCACCCTGTATATCTGATTTTTTGAAAACCTCATAAAATTATTGATCAGTAATATTTGAAAATTGCCAATCAGCACAATGTTTAAGGCTTCCAAATTCAAAGTAATGCTGTGTTAATTTTTCTGTGGCAATAGCTCAAATTTTTAATCACGCAAATTCCGATGTTTTGATTCTTGATTTTCAAAATTTCATATTTTATTATATCGTACATTTCAACGTCAATACTTAAGATTGACCGTAACTTTCCAAGAAATGCGTACCTGCAATTTTGATTAAAATCTTGTTTGTTTTTGTCTCTTTTTTGCGTACTTTTAGGCTAGCTCTGATCATATACGGTTTCCACCTGAATTTTCAATTACACACTGAATATCAATTAATGCATACATAGATAAACGTAAAATTTCAAGTCGTATAAAAAATTATAAAACATTAACATTTTTAATAAGAATTAATTTTAACATGGTAAGTGTATAGAATATATAGAAAATAAATAGATCTTAATTTGTGTGATTCGAACAGACGATTTCGAATGATGATCACACTCTGTTGATAGGCTGAACCGAGAGTTCAAATAACAGCTTCCAAGCAAGACGAGTTATTATATGCTGTATTTGGCTATTTCAAGAATATGCCGCTTGCTTTAGGAAAACGAAATATATCGATTTCAATTTTTAAAAGCTCAAGTCCAATTTAAAAAATGTACTTTTCATTTTTAATATAAAACAGAGATAACTGTCAGCTATCCTGTGACGTCATAAAAATTGTAAACAAAGAAAAGTAATCCGTATGTGACTCGTTGACTGACGTTGTCTTTAAGAATCTCCAAAAACTTCTAATCAACGTAAACAGTGATCGTTTTCTCGTTTTATTGAAAAAACAATCATGGGCGTTGGATTCATAAAAGCAAAAAGCACACATTGATCGTTGGTAATTTTACAGGAAAAACTATGAAAATTAAGGAGGCCATAAAGGCTTCCTGCAATTGTATGAACGACTGAAGAATGTACATAGTCATGCCATAAGTTCTGTCCCTCGTTTTCAAACAAGTGTAGACCTGTTAATACTTGTCCGATTGTTTACATTGTGGTGTCAGTTGATTAAGCGGTTTTCGGGTAATTACATATACCTCAGTTTGTATTGATCTCTCGAAGCATAACGATGGAGTGGGGCAAGGCAGAGAACCGTATTGCAGTGATAGCTTTACATAAGTGTAATCACAGTGCTAGTCAGATTTTTGAACTCTTACGCGGCCTTCAAATATCGCGTAAATTTGTGTCTAGGACCATTCAGCGGTACAGTGAGACGTCCTCTGTTGATGACAGGCCAAGAAGCGGAAGACCTCGTCAAATAAGGACTCCAGCAGCCATCAAAGCCGTAAAAGCCAGGATTCAAAGGAATCCACTCCGGAAGCAGTAGATCCTATCCAGGGAAATGAAGATTCCTGTCCGGACGATGTCGCGCATCATTAAACAAGACCTAGTGCTAGGGGCTTACCGGAGACGTACGGGCCAGCGACTTACGGCCACCTTGCGACACATCAGGGCGACAAGATCCAAGAAGCTCTTGGAGAGGTACGCAGCTGGGGGATTCCGAAAGATTTTGTTCACGGATGAGAAAATCTTCACCATAGAAGAAAAATTCAACCGACAAAATGACAAAGTGTATGCAAGGAGTTCACAGGAAGCTTCGGAGATCATTCCGAGAGTTGAGAGAGGCCACCACCCTGCGTCAGTCATGGTTTGGTGGGGGGTGTCCTACGAAGGGGTCACTCAGCTCCATTTCTGTAAACAGGGCGTGAAAACAAAAGCGGCAAACTATCAGAGCGACATACTGGATCCTATCGTCAAGCCTTTAAGTGGTACATTGTTTGCCAACCAACACTGGGTCTACCAGCAGGATTCCGCCCCCGCTCACAAGGCTAAGAGTACGCAGCGCTGGCTGGAAAGCAATGTGCCAGAGTTCATTGCTGCGGAAGATTGGCCCTCAGGGAGTCCGGACCTCAATCCTTTAGACTACAAGTTGTGGGACCTGCTAGAGCAGTTGGCCTGCTCCAAAGCCCACCGTAATATCGAGTCCCTGAAAGCGGATTTGATCCGATCAGCGGCAGCTATTCCTTTGGAAGCTGTGCGTGCAGTGATAGATGAGTGGCCCGCGAGATTGAAGCAGTGTGTGAAGGCCAAGGGGGGACATTTTGAATAAAACTGTTTGATTATGAATTCTAAAAATGTTGTCGAATAAATAATATCTTTCATATAAATATATCTTATCTTGTTTCATTTTTATCATGAGATTATCATGGGACAGAACTTATGGCACGACTACGTATTATTCAGACTTTTGAAGCATATCTATCTACATATTTCCAATTTTTCATTCTAAAAATATAGTGGCACATACCATTTTTTGTATGTTGTACCTGTATAATTAATGGTTTGTTTTCTGCGTACAAAAGTATTTCAACGTTGCAAGTAGTTTATTCAACGAATTGTAACGGATTTAAATTCATACGAGATTCTTCTGAAAAAATAAAAATTTTCGAACAAAGAACACATTTTCTTCCCGGTGTGACTTTCTTCGCGTTCTAGCTGAAATCTGAAAACTTTTGCAATTGTGTCTGAAATAGTAGGACCCTTCTTCTCCGCTTTGCTTACTGTTGCGCAGGCATGGCTTTCAATTGGATTAGATGGAACGTTAAACAATCTATCAACGTACTCTACCGTTTGTTTTCGTGCTGGAAAATATGAAATAAATCTATCGTCTGTTCGAACCACCCTCCTAAAATTACTCATAAATGTCGCGATTTTCGAAATAATATACGCGTGAGATGCACCTAACATGACGGACGAAAAATAGTTCACAGTTCATTCGGTCTGTTGTACCTGTAGTTGTACTATGAAATCATGCTGTTCCAAGTACCGTTTCTCTCGCCGATATCCGAAGTCACTACAACAGATCAGAATTATCAGAACTAATCGTCAATGTTCAGGATAAATTAGAACACTATCATAGAGGGGGAGGTGTTCTCGTTCGCCATTTTGGTACCAGTCTCCTGATGGCTTGTCGCTATTTTGGGCCTGGCCACACGCAGATTCGTCAAAAAGGTCCTTTTTTGAATAAAGATATGCAAAAAACACAATGAGAATATTTTTCTGAGCAAATGCGAATATACGAGGGCGGTGCGATAAGTACCGGGTGCGCCATCTTTTGTGTCGGTTTTGAAACTGATATTTACCGAGTGATTTGGCTATACGTGTTTCTGAAACGTCAATTTACTACAATTTTAGTCATGAATCGCTTTACACCGCAACAACGCGCCGAAATAGTCACATTGTAAATTGAAAATCGTCGTCCAGTTGTGGTAACGCAACGTGCACATCGTCGAAAATATCGTGGCAAACAGACACCATCTTCTTGAGTACGGGACAGTGGGAGATCGTCAACATACCATTCATCAACGACCAAGACGTACCAATGAATTGGTTGAAGCGCTCAGAGACAGCGTTGGCCAGAACTCAAAAGTGTCGCATCGTCACCTAGATCAGCATTTCGGCATCAGTGGAACCACGTTGCGGCGCATTTTGAAGGATGATTTGCATTTGTTTCCTTATAAGGTGCAGTTAACACAAAAAATATTGCCAACTGACCGTCCACGTCGCTTGGAATACGCCCAAACAGTCGCTTGTATGGTTGATGCTGACCTGATTTTTTGAAGCAAATTGTTAGGACCGACGAGGCCCATTTCACGCTCTCTGGCGGCGTTAATAAGCAAAACTGCCGCATTTGGAGCACGGAAAATCCCGTTGCATGACCGGAAAGTCTATGTTCGGGCCGGCGTTTGCGCCATTGGACCATTTCTCTTCAACGAAAACGAAACAGTCGATGGAAATCGATAACGGTGGATGTTGGCTCATTATGTCTGCCCACAAATGCGTGAAAAAGGTCTTGATGGTTATTGGTTTCAGCAAGAAACAATCCAGTTTCTGCAACGAAACTTCCCTGGAAGTCTGATGTCAAAAAGAGGTGACATTGACCGGCCACCCAAGTCTCCAGATTTGAACCCGGGCACATTTTGTTTTGGCCAATAAAGGTGGCCACTTGATAGATGTTGTGTTCGAAAACTAGTCCCAATAAATTGTAAAGGACCAATATTTAATAAAAATACCCGATATATAGAAATCAGTTTTTCGTTTTCAAAGTTATTTGATGTTTACATACCGACATAAAAGATCCATTTAGGTGGACTTTCCCCTTAAGTTTGTCGTGATATTTATATGATTTGGTGAGTTAGGCTACGAACTGCCGCTCCATCCACCGTATTCTCCAGATTCGGCCCCGGGTGGCTTTTTTTGTTTCCGAACTTGAAAAAGTCACCAGCGGGCAGAAATTTGAGTCGAATAAGGAGGTTATCGCCGCCACGGAGGCCTACTTTGCGGACCTCCATAAAAAGCATCTTTCAGACGGGTTAAAAATGTTAGAGAATCGCTGGGTCAAGTTAAAAGGAGAGTATGTTGAGAACTAAATCGCCACTTTTCCAAAATCTTTGTTTTTCATAGGGTCAGGCTAAGATTTTTATCGTACAATCTGTCAAAGTGACATGCGCTTACTAATTGTACTTGAGTAATTTTCGAGAAAAAAAATCCACTTAATCGCATATCCTTGGACCACACAAAGAATATGGTCATTAGTTTAGTTGAATTTTATTCGTTTATATTTTGATGTAATGTGATTTAATTGCGTGTTTATTTGTTATTACATAATTAATAATAAATAAAAAAATCCCAAAAGAAACTTTTCTCCATATTCCACTATCCATTTAGGTGGAATTTTTTTCTCTCGAAAACTAAGCAAAATGCAAATTCGGCAAATGATATTTAAGAAATTTACGAAAAAAACATTTTTTTTTAATTTTAACACTCTGTATCTTGAGAACGAAGAATTTGCGGACCTGTATTTATATGAAATTTTTGCCTTAAAAAGTCACTCAAATAATCGTCTGTTAAACTGGTACATACTTTAACTTTAACAGCCTGAATTGTTTTTATGTTTTAAATTGTACATTGTATGTTAATTTAAATAAAGAAATAGACCGAATCCGCAATCCGCCCCAAGAATTTATAACTGAATTAGTATTGGGATAACTGCAAAGTAAAACCAAAAGAAATTCTAATCCCGCCTCGCTAGATGACTGGTACCGTAACGACGACCGAAAATCCTCTCCTCTACAACGCAAAATATCCTCCTTCGATTCTATTAAAACATAAAATCACACGAAGACCGCCTGCGTTTGCTCCGACCCGTCCATCAGTCCCTCTCAGCTGGAAATGAAAGCGGAGTTGGCAGTGTTGGAACTGGCAGTACCTGAGGCGGCCGGCGGCTTCATAGCCTTGTCCTCGGGGCCCCACACGCGCACCGTGCAGTCGTCCGAGACGGACACCATCATGTGGTGGTGCACCGGGTTCCAGGATACGCTGTTCACCGTCCTGGAATGGCCCGTTAGGACGGCGATCGGTTGCTCGTTGCGGATATGGTACACGTATACCTGGAATAGAATAAATACTTTGTTTACCAGCGTCGATCCGCGGCTCCGCTCCGGTGGAAGTAGTGTACAGGTTTTACATTGGGGTTGCGCAGAAAGAAATGGAATTGGAGAGTGTAAGTTCAAAAATATTTTAGCTTAAAAACAGAAAATCGTAAAAAGATCGAAGTGCCTCATTATGCAATTCTGAAAAGGGTTTATGTCTTATTAGGCTTTTTTGCAGGTTTCATATCACCTCAAGTTTTGTATTCTAAGCCACTTGTCATCAGACGTTTTTGTTCCTTTTTCAGACTTTCTGAACCTTTCGCCGTTCGTTATTTGGTTGGTTTTTGGGTAGTTAGTAGTAGTAGTAGAAAGATTTATTTAGCACATTTGGCTACATAAACAGAACAATTGTAAACAACTTAGAACGATTAAATTCAAGCCATATGGTGTATGATGTAAATGCTGGGCAACCTATAATTGTAGATTTAACAAGTGATTTCTCAATTTTACTTTAAATTTTGTCAAAGTTTTCTGGTCTTTTATCTCCGAGTATAATTTATTATATTCAATCAACCCTTGATGGAATATAGATTTGTAGCATATGTTATACTTTTTGGTCATTAAATGGAAGTCATCTTTATTTCTGGTATTATGCAAATGATGGTCGACATTTGATGATGTTAAATTAGTTAGACTTGATGGAAATATATTATTTTTTACTTTATAAATGAATATCATTACAAGATATTTGATAAAATTTTTTACATTGAGCCATTTTAATTTGCTAAGCATTTGCCTAATTGGAGTATATTTATCTTTATTTAGTATTATTCTCATGCACTTATTTTGTAAAATTTGCAGTCTTTCAAAAATGGAATTATTTGCTAAATATAGAACAGTCGAACAGTACAAGAAATTTGGAAGAATGATGGTATTATAGATAATTTTTCTGCTATATGAACTCAGACATCCAGAAACTCTCGATAAATATCCCACTTTACTACTAATCTTATTTATAACTTTTTCATAATGAATATCAAAAATTAATCGAGAGTCACAAAAACTCCCAGGTATTTAAAATTTTCTACGAATTCAATATCTTCACCATCAATATTCAGTTGAACATTTGTACATTGTTTTTTCCGATTAACAAGGCTTTCGTTTTACTTGCATTTAATTTTAGTCTGTTAGATGCTAACCATTTTGAGACAAGCTTCAAGTCTTCATTCATATAAGAGATACCAGACTGAATATTTTTAGTACTTATATAAATCATAGTGTCATCGGCGAAAATCTGAATTTTGCATTTTTTGACTATGGCAAGTAAATCATTTATGTATAAAATAGAAAGAAGTGGTTCCAGGATATTGCCCTGTGGAACACCCAACGTATTTTCAATTTTTGATGAAATAGTGTCATTAACTTTTGTAACTTGCATCCTTTTAAACAAATAATTTCTAAACCAATCTAAAACACTTCCTGTTATACCATATGCCTTCAATTTACCTAACAAAATATCTCTATCAATCGTTCCAAATGCCCTCTTCAAATCCAAAAATACTGCTATGACAACTTCTTCTGAGTCTATGGCTCTTCTCCAATTCTCAGTTACCAACTGGAAAGCTGTTTCTGTGGAATATTTTTTTCGAAAGCCTGCTTGCGCCTCCACTAAAATTTTGTTTTCTTCTATAAACTGCATTAATTGGCCATGGACTCTAATAATTTTTCAATGTCTGGTAACACATTTACTGGTCTCATATCGCTGCATCTTTTAGAATTTTTTATTTTGGGAACTGGTGTTATTGTAGAGCATTCCAAATTTTCAGGAAAAGAACTGCTTCTCAGTGAACAATTGATCCAATTTAATACAGGATATCCCAAAATTTCGAAACAGTTTTTCAGCACGTTTTTAGTAGTGATTTCGGCACAGTTGTTATTTGATTTTAAACTGTGTACTTTTTTTCTTAGATAATTCAATGATATGCTGTGAAATTTTGAAAGTGTATGCAACATTTCCCCCTGGAAACTGATTTTCATATAGTCAGGTGCAGCATTGGCAGTACCCACAATATCAACAATACTTTCCACAAAATATTCATTTAGTTTATCACCAAAGAATTTGTTTCGGTACCGTTTTCGAATTGAACTTGATTTACACAATCATGCGGCTTCGAATTGATCAGTCTTTTTAAAGTCTTCCACATCTTTACACTGTCGCACTTGTTATTATCGATTTGTTTATCGTAGAATTTCCTTTTTTCTTCTCTAATTACATATACACATTTATTCCTAAGAGTTTTATATACCTCCCAATCATCATTTGATTTTGTGCATATACATTTATTGTATTGTTTGATTCTAAAATTTCGAGCTGCCTTAATATTCTTGTTATACCAGGGTGTATTTTTTGTCGAGCAAATCACTTTTTTATCAGTTGCAAGATCTAAACAAGTTTTTATATTTCCTATTATGTTATCATATATTTTTTCCATATTCTCACCAAAATTCCAATAGCAGCCAGCAAGTTCTCGTTCAAGTTTTTCGTACTTAATAGTATTTACGATTTTCTTAATTTTTGTATCAGAAACATGCCCTACCAAGGGCAGCATTGTCCAACTGTGATCGCTAATTTTAGGTGTATGTACAGCTTTAATCCCTGCACATTCGAAATTTACAATAACAAGATCTAACAAAGTCTCTGATAATGATGTTATTCTGGTACTGTCTTCAATTTTTTGCTTGAACCCATAGTTGTTTATGGTTTCTTTCAATTTTCTTGTTTTCATGCTTTTACCATAATAATTTAAATTAAAATCACCTAAAAGTATTATATTGTTTCTAAAATTCCACATTTCTTCGCATTTTTCTTCAAAAAACGTTAAAAATGTATCCGCATCACTGTTTGGTGAAGGTAAAAAGAACAAAGATCATAACGTTTCCCAAATAATTTGAACTGTATATGTGCATACCAGTATGCATAGTCTAAAGTGGTACAATCGAATAATGTGATCTGTATTTTGTGGTAAACATAAATCACTACACCTCCAGTATGTCTGCAGTTGGAGTTGCATCTGTAGGTTTTATAATTTGTAATTCACCATCAGTGATGTCTTCTGTAGCATGTGTTTCGGTAAGACATAATACAAGTGGTTTTCTCCATCTTAAAAACTGTTCATCTATATTATTCAGGACTCCTTGTATGTTTAAATGGTATATCGAGTACCCAAAACAAAAATCCGCTCTCCAATAAACAATTGCTTTTTGGTACTAGAATCAGCCATGAGTCTCGGGGGGGGGGGGGACTTACCCCCTCTGCCCCTCTTGGCTACGCGCATGCAAGGATTTCCATAAAAAAGTTAACTCAGATACATGATGCATATTAAAAGTCAATTAAAAAATACTCGTACAGAGTCTTGACATCATTTTTAAAGCAATATTGTACTGTTCCTTTCTTACCTGATTATCTTCGCTACCGCTGGCGATAAAGTCCTGATTCGCACCGCCGAACGTGGAATGAATGGTGAAATGTCCCTGAGTAACACCCTGAAAGCGCCTGACTAGGCATTTGTCGTTCAGGTCCCACAAGTGGACACCCTGCGTGGCCACGTTCAGCAAGGCCAATCGGTCTTTTCTGTCCACTGTGAACGACTGGATCGAGTAGTCTTCTTGGATTCTGCAAGAAAGAAGAACATATTGGCACCTCGATTCATCAAGCGACAGTTTGTCACAGTGACACAGTCCTCTGTAAGCAAAAAAGATGCACAGTGTGGCGAACGCGGAAACAATTTTTCAAAAAACGGGAATGCACTGTTTTCTATCAGAACCGTTGCGCGTCAGATAACTGAACAGCGCCATCTATTCGCGAGCACTGGAACAACAAAGTCTCGAACCTCCAGAACAACCCTGGAGTACACGCCCGAATTGTCTGGGAGAGAACACACGAATATAAAGGCGGGGGTTGAAGTCAGAAAGTGGAAAACCAGTTATAATGAACTTGCTTATAATGGAAACCCGTATATAATGGACACAATTTAAGGTCCTATAAATAATTGCATGTAAAATCCTCGGATATTATAGACTCGCTTTTAGCAGACTATTTTAATCCATTATATGCGAGCTATTTTGGTAGTTCCCAGTAGCAGATTTAGCTGATGCAATCGTTTAAGGCGGTTTGGCTTCGCAGTTTGCATTCGAACTTGGCCACCACTACTAAATATTTCAAAATGTAAAGTACTCACTTTTTCTAGACAGACTAATCCTATATTTTACAACTACACAATGGAGGATTCTGTCTTGGAGCGTTGCGAGACTGTTAGAGATTTAGGTGTCTACTTTGACGTGGAACTCACCTTCAATTCACTGGACAACAAATTTTAGTTTTTTAATTGTATCTTGTGGAAAAAGTGCACTTCTTTGTTAATTTTGGGGCGCTGAATCCAGAAATGACAATGAAATAAAAAAATTAGTTGCGGTTTAGAAAAAAAACTTTTTATTTTTAAGGATATATTAAAAAAAGTAACAAGATTCATATACTTATAAGAATCACTATATGCGCTGTCTTTTTGCTGTTCTTTTATGGATCGTTTCTGGAGCATCTCTACCAAGAATCCAACAGTAGTCTGCAAGCATGGAAGGATTCCACTTTCCCTGGTACCTTTTTTCCATTGTTGCAATATCCTGATGAAAACGTTCGCCGTGCTCATCACTTACGGCTCCGCAATTGTCAGGAAAAAAGTCCAGGTGTGAGTGTAGGAAATGTATCTTAAGAGACATATTACAGCCCATCTTTTGATACGACGACAGCATATTTTTGACAAGGGTTTTATAGTTGTCAGCTTTTCTATTTCCCAAGAAATTAGTGACCACCAGACGGAAATCATTCCAAGCAGTTTTTTCAATACCTGTTAAAGTGTTTTCAAACTGTGTATCTTTCAAAATATTTCGAATCTGTGGCCCAACAAAAATACCTTCTTTAACCTTTGCCTCACTTAGTCTTGGAAATTTCTGACGTAGGTATTGAAAAGCTGACCCATCTCTATCTAATGTCTTGACAAAGTTTTTCATTAGGCGCAACTTGATATGCAGTGGAGGTAATAAAATTTTTTTCGAATCTACTAATGGCATATGCTGTACATTTTTTTGACCTGGCTCTAGGAATTGACGAACAGGCCAGTTTTGTCTGGTGTAATGAAGTGCCTCTGCCCGACTGTCCCATTCACACAAAAAACAACAAAACTTTGTGTAGCCTAGCTGCAGCCCAAGTAAAAGTGCAACAACTTTCAAATCGCCACAAATATGCCATTGGTGCTCATCGTATTTCATGCATGTCAATAGGTACTTCATATTGTCATATGATTCTTTCATGTGAACTGCATACCCTACAGGAAGAGATGGTAAAATATTTCCAATATGCAATAACACTGCCTTTAAACTCAATGTTGAACTGTCTATAAACAATCTCCATTCTTCTGGGTTATAGTTTATATTTAAAGCCGCCAGTAAGCCGTTAATGTTACTGCAGAAAACCAAGTTATTCTCCATATTGAAAAATGGTTCTAAGTCTTTGTGGCGTTTAAGAAAAACACATATCGAAACATCGTCTTCTAATAAGTTCCACTGCTGCAATCTTGATCCAAGTAACTCTGCCTTACATTTTGGAAGTTCTAAATCTCTTACAAGATCATTTAATTCTGACTGTGTTATTTTGTGCGGTTGGTGGCATGACGTGCTCGGTATAAAATCAGGATCTCTTGACGTTGATGGCATATTTTCTTCCTGACGAATCACTCGATCGCCATGATCTGATTCGTTTTCTGATTCGCAAGTGTAGGATTCTGGGAGTTTTGGAATAGGATTTTCGTCACTGTGAGGCACAGGTCTCATCGCATAAAATGTTTGGGTAGTTAATAACCGATTTTTTTTCTTGGACATACCTGTGGCTTGTCCAACACAAGGTACCATGCAAAAGTAACAATCATTAATATGATTTGTAGGCTCTCTCCAAACCATTGGGACAGCAAAGCGCATAGACCGTTTTTTGCCATTTAACCAGCTCCTCAGACTTGAAGCACATGTATTACAGCAGATGTGGGGTGCCCACTGTTTGTCTTGATCACCTAGTTTACAACCGAAATAAAGCTGATATGCCTTTGTTATTAGTGGAGTAATAGACCGTCTCTGAGACGCAAAAGTCACATCACCACACACGTAACAAAACTGATCTGGATTGTTTACACACTTTCGAGACATCTTGCATGAACGCTGTCAGCCAACCGAGGAAAAAATGGCTAATATAAAACAATATAATGTACACGTATGTATAACGTAACACAATCAAGCCGATTACATCATCTTTCCTTGCCGAATATAAAAATAACACATATAATTACGGTATCTCTAAAACTTGAACTAATATTGAAAAAATAAGTTTAATTAATAGTAATATTTTGTTGATTTTATTTAGGATATTTTTTGGCTGTTGATCAGTGATTATCATATAAACCAAATAATTTCTAGTGCATCGAAAACGTAGAAACTTCGACAATATCTGTACATTGAGATCTTTATTTTCAGCCTGATAAGGTCAAAACTTGAATATGTATCTCTTATATGGATCCCTATTTATAAACAATATGTTGATGCTGTTGATAAAATTCAGAAAAAGTTTTTGAAGTTTCTCAGTTTCAAAACTGATGGAGTATACCCTGCGAGAGGTTCCGATTACAAAGACCTTTTACAAAAGTTTGAGTTTCAATCTTTAGAATGAATCAATTTTCTGTACTGATTTTATGTAAATTGTTGCATGGTCAAGTAGACTGTCCCCAAATTCTCTCGCAGTTGCAATTTCTGGTGTCGCGATTAGCTTCACGAGCTATTGTTCCTTTTTTATGTCAAACACTAACTTATTATCAAAAGCACCAGTTAATATGATGAGTAACAATGCCAATAAAATTGCTAACGACTGTGACATTTTTGGTTGCAATTATAATGAGATACGTTTTCTAAGTTAATACTTACTACATAATACCTTTAACCTAACTTTTATTTTTATAAATTGCTCTGTTATTGGCGATAAGCTGTTGGGCAATAAAGGCTTATTATTATTATTATTATATTTATTAGAATTATAAACATGTAGAAAAGTGCGAAACGTGCATTCACTTTACACGAAAAGTTCACAATAATTAGTGAGCTTGAGCCGAGTTCATCTCAAGCAAATATATGTGCTCGTATGGCTAGAAAAAAATACTCTGTATCAAATATTTGGAAAAACCGTGACAAAATTAAAAATGACTGGAAATCAAATAGTCAAAAGAAAAAATGCGGCTATCGTTGCATCCCCAAGTCTGATATGCTGTTTAAATGCTTTCAACAAAAGTGTGCTAATAATTTCCCAATAAGTAGATCTATGCTACAAATAAAGGCTGAGGAATTTGGGAAATTGATTGGAGATTACTTCAAATGTAGTTTTCCGGTTGGCTAGACAGGTTTAAGAAAAGACATAACATTGTTTTTGGAAAAATGTTTGGCGAGTCAGCTTCAGTTGACAAGAACGTTAACAATGACTGAATTTATGACCTTTTGTTTATTTCAGGGAAATTTAAGAATCCCAAGTGCTTCATAAATGTTAAAACAATTCCCGTCGATTATGTTGGAAATAATAGAGCTTGGATGACTTCATCAATTTTTTAAGAATATTTAAAAAAGTGGGACGCTGAACTTGTTAAGAAGAATCGTAAAATTTTGCTGTTGGTCGATAACCCCCGCTCATTAAAATATTTCACTTAATAACACCAACCTTCAATTTTTTCCACCCAATGAGACATCAGTTCTGCAACCAATGGACTAGGGTGTCATTTGGAGTTTTAAACAAATGTATCGGAAACATATGTTGATGAAAATTATGGAGTTTCAAGAAGATGTCAACATTACCAAAGCTGTCATCATTTTAGACGCTACAAATTTGCTTACTATTTCATGGGATTTGGTTACTCCAAAAAAGTTCGTAATTGTTTTCGTCATGCTGCTTTAGTGAAAAACATAACTGAAATAGTCAACGATTTTAATCCAGAAGATGAAATTCCATTAAGTGATTTACTGAAAATTAATAGTTTACTGAATATAGACAAATTTAATGAGTAAATGTTGACAATAATTTAATAACAACACAGAAATTGTCACACTCTAATTTGGTTAACGAAGGATCCGTTGATAACGAACAGGAAGACGAACTAGAAAACAACGATGAAGAAGAACTTCCAGTGACAACTAAGGAGGCATTAGACTGCTACACTAATTAAATAAAATTCAACTTGCTGTTCTTAAAAATTATACAAAAAACAATCTGTTCAAATGAAAATTACTAGCTTTTTTACCAAATAATTTACGGTACACGGTACGCATGCCTGTAATATGTGTATCAGATTATGAAAAAATGCAAATTTCAAGATTACGTATAACTTTTTTGTATGTATCTTTATTTATGTAATACATGTTAAACAAACACATTTTAAGAATTTAATATGTTATTTCTGCTGCTTTTTTCATTAAAAAAAAGTGTTTCTTTTAAGATGGTCATCCGCCTATAATGACTATTTGTCACAGCCCCGCCGAGTCCATTATAAGCGGGTTGCACTGTAGTTGTTAAAAATTAGTGCTGTGAAGCAATAATAAATTTGTTACAATATACTTACACTTGATGGTCCGAGACCTCCTCGAAAATGTACCCTCTGATCCTGCGATGCGCGTCGGCTGCCAGGACAGTCTTTCCATCCTTCCTGCACCACAGACCGTGGACTCTAACTCCTTCCCACGAATCGAGAACGTTCCCTTCCAAGTCGCATTGGTAAAAATGGCCTCGCTGTCCGCCCACCTAAAAAAGAGTATTTATCTAGGAATGCCGAGGTATAGAAAAAATATATACTAAGTGACATATAAATCCGAACACCCAGTTTAAATGGTTTTATTTTAATAAAATTTTGTATAAGTACTTAATGAAGCATAATAAGTAAATGATAAAAATTTCAAAATGATTGCACTGCTTTAAAGCCCTTTAATAATGTGTGGATGCACCCTGATGTGCTACGCATTCTTCAACGCGCCTAGGCATGCTTCTGATCAATCTTGTCGATGTCCTCCTGTGGTATCTCATTCCAGGCAACCACCAACTCCTCTCGAAGTGCTTCTAGAATCTGAAGAGGATGTTGCAAATTGAGCAATCTCCTACCCATCATATCCCACACGTGCTCAATTGGGGATAAGTCGGGAGATCTTGGTGGCCATGGTAACAATGTGACATCATTATGTTGAAAGAAGTCTATTGTGACTCTTGCAACATGTGGTCGGGCATTATCTTGTTGGAAAGTTGGATCTACCAGGGTGTCAAGATAGGGTAAAAGATAGGGTTCTAGAACTTCGTGGATATAACGCTGCGCGTTCACGTTACCTCTGATGAAGATTAAAGGTGACCTGGAACCATAAGCTATAGCACCCCAAACCATAACTCCAACAGTGTGATGAACATGTCTTTCAACAAAAAACTGTGGATTCCTCCTTTCACCACGTCGCCTTCTAACCCTGGCACGACCATCGTGCATGCCTAAACAAAATCGAGACTCGTCACTAAAGACAATACTGTTCCATTCCTGATCCCAGAGTGACCGTTGTCTGCACCACTCAAGGCGATTACGTCGGTGTTCTCGAGTGTGGCCGGTATGAAAACAAGCCAAAACTTCTCATTCGTCGGTAAACACTTCGCATGCCAATAGGTCTTCCGTGTTCTGCAAACCATTCATTTGCAATGGACCTGGTAGTGGAGAAACGGTCCCTTAAGGCCAATAATCTTCACGGTCTGTTGTTCTACGGCGGCGTCCAGTGCCCCTTGCTCTTTGCGTACGGCCTTCTCGAAGCCATGCCTGACAACACCTAACCACAGTGTCTACACTTCTTTGCACTCTAACTGCAATTGCCCGAAAAAAAAGTCCAGCTTCCCGAAGTCCCACTATACGGCCCCTATCAAACTCACTAAGTTGACGAAATCGTACAGGTCTCCGTACTCTAGGCATCGTAACCGATCGTAAAGGATGTCAAGAACCAAAATCCGGCAACGTTGATTCTTTACTGCGGCTGAAATATTCATTTTTAGAGCGTTAGTGAATTAAAAAAAAGCAGTATAAAAACCGGAATGTCCAACTGATAAGCTGAAAATTTTTTCACTTGTTATTTACAGTAAGATAAATACATTCACCAACTTTTATTAAAATAAAACCATTTAAACTGGGTGTTCGGATTTATATGTCACTTAGTATATATTTAATTAACCAACAAAGCATGACACAACAATAAAAAACAAAGAGGTAAAATTGGCGATATACTATCAAGCATTAAAAATATTTCGATACGAGTGCCTAAAGTGAAGCAAATTAGGTCCATAACTATTTATTTTATATATTAACGATATTCCTAATGTTTAACTGCGAAATTTAACGGAATGTACGCTTATAGGAAAATCTTTAATCAAAATATTAATCATGAAAAAATTGAGTCAATCGAATCATTTAAATATTCGGGCATATACGTAGATAGCAAATTAAAATTTGAAGGGCACTATGAATATATTATTTCAAAAATATCCAAAAAGATAAATTACTTCTTCTATCATTCTTGATCATTTGTTATATTGTTCGAATATTTTGATCACCGCAAATGATACTGTATTTTCAAAATTACAAGATAAAGCTATGAGAATCATCTTAAATAAAAATAAATATACCAGAATAAATATTATGCTGAAAGTACTGCAATGGTTAGATATCAAAAATTTCATAACCTACTTTCATATTCAAGTTAAAAAATCATCTTCTGCCAAATTTTATTGAATTGAACAATGAGTACCATAGTTCTTCTACTAGAGGGAGTATAGACTTTCAATTACAAAATTGTAGTAGCAATATGGCAAACAAATCAGCATTTCAAATGAACAAATTTAATAAATTAAATACAGCAGACGCTCGATGACGTAAACACGGGATAATGAAAACTTGCGCTAATGTAAACACAAACTTCGTTCTATAGGATCAAACGGAACGTTCGATAACGTAAACAACTCTCGGCGCACGGAACAGCGCGACGGTAAAATGCTGAAGCCTCGATGATTTATGTCGGGCGTCGGGGAGTCCCAAATTTATGATGTAGAGTGTAGGGGATTCACCTCAAAATACGACAAACTCGGTCAGTCGTATGATCGTTTAGGATACGTTTATAACTACGTATGTATTTCATTTTTGAACTTAAGTGAATACATTGCACGCGTTAATATATTTTACGACTATGGCATCCACATCCTATAAAAGAAAGTGTTTAAAGTTGAGTGAGAAAGTGAAAATCATAGACGAAGTTGCACTAGGTGCGGGAGTGACACAGTTAGCAAAAAAAATATGGAGTATCGAAACCAACAATCTGTAAAATTAACCGTATGAAAACTCAAATTTTACAAAGAACGTGCAATACATTTGGAGGTCCGGGAAAAAGAAAAACTTTAAAAAATGCGAAGGCACCTAAAATGGAAAATTCCCTGTATAAGTGGTTTTTAAAACAACGGGAAAATCATGTCCCAGTTAGTGGCGAAGTACTTAAACAGAGAGCGAGACTGTTAAATCAAAAACTGAAAGAAACTGAAAATTTCGTAGCTAGTGATGGCTGGCTACAAAGATTCAAAACAAGATATGGGATTCGACTGCTGTCGATATCTGGTGAAAAATTATCAGCACAACCACAATTAGTGCAACCATTCAAAGAAAAATTGATGAAAACAATTACTGAGCTAGATTTAAGAATGGAACAAATTTACAACGCAGATGAAAGTGGCCTTTATTGGAAAATGTTACCAAAGAAAACCAATGCTGCATTATTTGAAAAATCTGCCCCGGGAAGAAAGCCGGAGAAACAACGAATAACGTTTCTAGCCTGCACTAATGCTAATGGTTCACACAAAATAAAGCCACTGGTAACTGGGAAAGCAAAAAATCCGCGCTCATTTAAAAATGTTAATATCCCTGTTGACTAGCAGTATATTCCTGAAATGGTTCCACAGGTGCTTTGTCCCTCAGGTATGACAATCAATTATCACAAATGCTCTATTCATAATTTGAAGATGTGTTTTCAATTTGTAGGTAAAAGGTTTCCTAAAACAACAGAAGCTTCCAATAAAAGCGTTGTTACTATTGGATAATGCACCAAGTCATCCTCCCGAGCAACAACTGAGGAGCAGGGATGGGTCAATTTTCGTCATGTACATGCCGCCCAACGTAACACCGTTAATTCAACCAATGGACCAGAATATATTAAGACTCACCAAACTATACTATAGGAAGTTTCTACTTTCGTCTGTCTTATCAAAGAATCCTGAAAACTTATCTGAGGCTTTAAAAAAAGTAACATTACGAGAAGCTGTTTTAGATTTACATATGGCCTGGAGTGAACTTAACCAGCAAACTATTAAAAAATGTTGGAACAATCTCTTTTGTACCAATAATGAAGATGATGAAGAAGCGATGTCCCCTTAAGCGTAATTGGAGAACGTTTGCGATCCAATAATGATAATGTTATTAGTGTGTCATTGGATGTTGTTGATTTATTGAAAACAGTGAATCCCAACATTGTTTGTACTCCTGCTGATATTAATTTATGGAACGAAGATAAGCAGATGAATGATGCTGATAAGGAGGAGGATATGGACAGTGAGGATGATGAGAACGATCCCATTGAAGTCAGAAGTGTAGTGACTGACGCGCAAGCTATACAAGTTTTTAACCAAGCTTTAGATTGGGCTGAAAGAAAAGAAGTTTCATACACGGATATTTTAGTTCTTCGTAAGTTACGGGCGCAGGCATTGGAAGACAATGCTAAGCGCAAATTTACGCAGACAAAAATTGTTTGTTACTTATCGCTGTTAGAATATTTGTTTATTTTGTTATAAATAGTATGTATTAAACGTTTCTTTTAATAAATCAAATATTATATAAATCTCGTTCGCTAATGTAAACATTTCGATAATGTGAACCACACTTGGATTAAATTAGTTTACATTATCGAGCGTCTGCTGTAATGATATCAAGACGTGTGCCAGTTTGAAATTGTTTAAAGGGAAATTGAAAAAATATTTCATGAAAAACCAAAACTTTCCATCATTTTTGAACGGCTTCGTTGGCACTTGCTGTTATAATGAGAAGCACTGTTTGCGGTAGGTTTTCACGTCGAATTTGAAAAATTGTTCCGGATTACTCTGCATCATTTTCCTTGGCAAGAATTTGTAGCGGATCAGCAACTAAGCACTAGCCCGAGGTTATAAAAATTAAAGGTCAGATTATAAAATTATATGTTTTTAGTCTATACGTAAGGAAATTTCAGTAACAAAATATACTTGATGACTGTGATATGAGTTTGAAAGAGACTGTTAAGGAATTACCAGATATAAGTAATATAAATATACAATAGCGCCAAATATAGAATATTGATTAAAAATCCGAGACGACCACAGAAGAAGAAAATTTTAATAACAAAAAGAAGATACTGTAATGAATGGAAGAATACTTACAACAAATTTTGTACCATCTTTGTGCCAAGCACAGGAAGTAAGGGCGTCTTCAGGAGACTGTGTGACTTTGAGGAAATTCTCGGTTTCGACGTTCCACAGCCACACCTCAGGACTTTCCTCAGGTCCACAGACTAACAGGTGAGACGAGTCTGGACTCCAAGACAGGTAGGCGGCACCTAAATAGAATACTGTGAAATATTTGCGACATCCTACAACCGATGTCTAAATAAATTGATGCAATAATAGTTTCAGCTCTTTGAGTATCTTTAAAGTGTTGGCAACATACTCTACACAGGCTGGTAATATTATTGTTAGTGCCTTCAGAATTTAGATGTTCTATTACCATAATTGTGTCCCTCGAGTACTTTCTTCAATGTGACAGTACACGAGTCTGGATGCACGTCCCAAATAATGACGTTTGTGTCCTTGGACCCGGTCGCCAGCTTGCTGCCATCCGGTGAGAATTGACAGAACCACACCTCGTCACAATGGTCGTTCAGAACCTACAGTCGAACAGTAATTCAATATATTTTTTTATAATCATTATTATCTATATTATAGCGTCTTAGTAGCATGCAGATAAGCGTCGAAGAAAACTATCCTGACCTTCAAATAACCTTGAAGGGCATAGTAAAGTTCAAGGTCACCATTCGTTGACCCTTTTCAAACCTTACAACTGTGTTTTGCTACATTTTTCTTTATGAAACGTATTTTTCTAGATATTCCCATACTGTTTGGTCATCCTCAAATACCCATGAAGGTTAGGTCAAGGTCATGGGCAAAGATATTCTTTAATATAAAAATACTCGTTATTTACATTTTCGGTGTAGAGAATAAGGTTTTCCGTTAAAAACATCTTGACCTTCAAATGACCCAGATAGTTAGTCAAGGTCACGCTCAAGGTGTTCCTTTTCGAAATATCCATGAAGGTTATGGTCAAAGTCATGGGCAACGATAAACTTTAAGGTAAAAATAAGGGTTCCCATTAAAAAGACATCTTGATTTTCAAATGACTTTAAAGGTCATAGACAAGGTCATGTTGAAGGTCACCATTGGATGTTTCTTTTCAGACCTCATAACTTTGTTCTAAAACATTCTTCTATAGGAATATTAATGTTTGTTTCTTCTGTAAATAAACAAATAAGTTGTTGCTACATTTTTCTTTATGAAACGTATTTTTCGAGATATTTTGTCTTTTCCATACTGTTTGGAAACCTTCAAATACCCTTGAAGGTTACGGTCAAGGTCATGGGCAAAGTTATACTTTAAGGTAAAATTTTCCGTTCTTTACATTTCCGGTGGCAAAAATAAGGGTTTACATTAAAAAACAGCACGACATTCAAATAATTTTGTAGGCCAACCAAGGTCACGTTCAAGGTCACCATTATATGTTCCTTTTCAAACCTTACAACTGTGTTTGCTACATTTTTCTTTATGAAACGTATTTTTTCGAGATATTTCCATACTGCTTGGACATCCTCAAATACCCATTAAGGTTATGGTGAAGGTCAAGGGCAAAGATATTCTTTAACGTAAAAATTCCCGTTACTTACATTTCCGGTGTAGAAAATAAGGGTTTCCGTTAAAAACATCTCGACCTTCAAATGACCCTGATAGTCAAGGTCACGCTCAAGGTCACCACTAGGTGTTCCTTTTCGAACATCATAATTTTGTTCTAGAACATTTTCCTCTAGTAAAGGTATATTTTATTTGGATACTGTTTATTTCTTTTGTAAATAAATAATGTGTTGTTGTTACATTTTTCATTATGAACCGTATTTTTTAATATCTTTTGTCTTTCTCATACTGTTTGGATGCACTCAAATATCCATCAATGTTATGGTCGGAGTCATGGCCAAAGATATACTTTCAAGGTAAAAATAAGTGTTTCCATTAAAAAAAACTTCTTGATTTGAAGGTCATTACAACATTCTTCTCTAGGAATATTAATAATTTTTGTTTCTTCTGTAAATAAATAAATAAGTTGTCTGCTACATTTTTCTTTATGAAACGTATTTTTCGAGATATTTTGTCTTTTCCATACTGTTTGGAAACCTTCAAATACCCTTGAAGGTTACGGTCAAGGTCATGGGCAAAGTTATACTTTAACGTAAAATTTTCCGTTCTTTACATTTCCGGTGGCAAAAATAATGGTTTACATTAAAAAACAGCACGACATTCAAATAATTTTGTAGGCAAACCAAGGTCACGTTCAAGGTCACCATTATATGTTCCTTTTCAAACCTTACAACTGTGTTTGCTACATTTTTATTTATGAAACGTATTTTTTCGAGATAGTTCCATACTGTTTGGACATCCTCAAAGACCCATTAAGGTTATGGTGAAGGTCAAGGGCAAAGATATTCTTTAACGTAAAAATCCACGTTACTTACATTTCCGGTGTAGAAAATAAAGGTTTCCGTTAAAAACATCTTGACCTTCAAATGACCCTGATAGCCAAGGTCACGCTCAAGGTCACCACTAGGTGTTCCTTTTCGAACATCATAATTTTGTTCTAGAACATTTTTCTCTAGTAAAGGTATATTTTATTTGGATACTGTTTATTTCTTTTGTAAATAAATAATGTGTTGTTCTTACGTTTTTCATTATGAACCGTATTTTTAATATCTTTTGTCTTTCTCATACTGTTTGGATGCACTCAAATATCCATCAATGTTATGGTCGGAGTCATGGCCAAAGATATACTTTCAAGGTAAAAATAAGTGTTTCCATTAAAAAAAACTTCTTGATTTGAAGGTCATTACAACATTCTTCTCTAGGAATATTAATAATTTTTGTTTCTTCTGTAAATAAATAAATAAGTTGTCTGCTACATTTTTCTTTATGAAACGTATTTTTCGAGATATTTTGTCTTTTCCATACTGTTTGGAAACCTTCAAATACCCTTGAAGGTTACGGTCAAGGTCATGGGCAAAGTTATACTTTAACGTAAAATTTTCCGTTCTTTACATTTCCGGTGGCAAAAATAATGGTTTACATTAAAAAACAGCACGACATTCAAATAATTTTGTAGGCAAACCAAGGTCACGTTCAAGGTCACCATTATATGTTCCTTTTCAAACCTTACAACTGTGTTTGCTACATTTTTATTTATGAAACGTATTTTTTCGAGATAGTTCCATACTGTTTGGACATCCTCAAAGACCCATTAAGGTTATGGTGAAGGTCAAGGGCAAAGATATTCTTTAACGTAAAAATCCACGTTACTTACATTTCCGGTGTAGAAAATAAAGGTTTCCGTTAAAAACATCTTGACCTTCAAATGACCCTGATAGTCAAGGTCACGCTCAAGGTCACCACTAGGTGTTCCTTTTCGAACATCATAATTTTGTTCTAGAACATTTTTCTCTAGGAAAGGTATATTTTATTTGGATACTGTTTATTTCTTTTGTAAATAAATAATGTGTTGTTGTTACATTTTTCATTATGAACCGTATATATCTTTTGTCTTTCTCATACTGTTTGGATGCACTCAAATATCCATCAATGTTATGGTCGAAGTCATGGCCAAAGATATACTTTCAAGGTAAAAATAAGTGTTTCCATTAAAAAAAACTTCTTGATTTGAAGGTCATTACAACATTCTTCTCTAGGAATATTAATAATTTTTGTTTCTTCTGTAAATAAATAAATAAGTTGTCTGCTACAGTTTTCTTTATGAAACGTATTTTTCGAGATATTTTGTCTTTTCCATACTGTTTGGAAACCTTCAAATACCCTTGAAGGTCATGGTCAAGGTCATGGGCAAAGATCTACTTTAACGTAAAATTTTCCGTTCTTTACATTTCCGGTGGCAAAAATAAGGGTTTACATTAAAAAACAGCACGACATTCAAATAATTTTGTAGGCAAACCAAGGTCACGTTCAAGGTCACCATTATATGTTCCTTTTCAAACCTTACAACTGTGTTTGCTACATTTTTATTTATGAAACGTATTTTTTCGAGATAGTTCCATACTGTTTGGACATCCTCAAAGACCCATTAAGGTTATGGTGAAGGTCAAGGGCAAAGATATTCTTTAACGTAAAAATCCACGTTACTTACATTTCCGGTGTAGAAAATAAAGGTTTCCGTTAAAAACATCTTGACCTTCAAATGACCCTGATAGTCAAGGTCACGCTCAAGGTCACCACTAGGTGTTCCTTTTCGAACATCATAATTTTGTTCTAGAACATTTTTCTCTAGGAAAGGTATATTTTATTTGGATACTGTTTATTTCTTTTGTAAATAAATAATGTGTTGTTGTTACATTTTTCATTATGAACCGTATATATCTTTTGTCTTTCTCATACTGTTTGGATGCACTCAAATATCCATCAATGTTATGGTCGAAGTCATGGCCAAAGATATACTTTCAAGGTAAAAATAAGTGTTTCCATTAAAAAAAACTTCTTGATTTGAAGGTCATTACAACATTCTTCTCTAGGAATATTAATAATTTTTGTTTCTTCTGTAAATAAATAAATAAGTTGTCTGCTACAGTTTTCTTTATGAAACGTATTTTTCGAGATATTTTGTCTTTTCCATACTGTTTGGAAACCTTCAAATACCCTTGAAGGTCATGGTCAAGGTCATGGGCAAAGATCTACTTTAACGTAAAATTTTCCGTTCTTTACATTTCCGGTGGCAAAAATAAGGGTTTACATTAAAAAACAGCACGACATTCAAATAATTTTGTAGGCCAACCAAGGTCACGTTCAAGGTCACCATTATATGTTCCTTTTCAAACCTTACAACTGTGTTTGCTACATTTTTCTTTATGAAACGTATTTTTTCGAGATATTTCCATACTGTTTGGACATCCTCAAAGACCCATTAAGGTTATGGTGAAGGTCAAGGGCAAAGATATTCTTTAACGTAAAAATTCCCGTTACTTACATTTCCGGTGTAGAAAATAAGGGTTTCCGTTAAAAACATCTTGACCTTCAAATGACCCTGATAGCCAAGGTCACGCTCAAGGTCACCACTAGGTGTTCCTTTTCGAACATCATAATTTTGTTCTAGAACATTTTTCTCTAGTAAAGGTATATTTTATTTGGATACTGTTTATTTCTTTTGTAAATAAATAATGTGTTGTTCTTACGTTTTTCATTATGAACCGTATTTTTAATATCTTTTGTCTTTCTCATACTGTTTGGATGCACTCAAATATCCATCAATGTTATGGTCGAAGTCATGGCCAAAGATATACTTTCAAGGTAAAAATAAGTGTTTCCATTAAAAAAAAACTTCTTGATTTGAAGGTCATTACAACATTCTTCTCTAGGAATATTAATAATTTTTGTTTCTTCTGTAAATAAATAAATAAGTTGTCTGCTACATTTTTCTTTATGAAACGTATTTTTCGAGATATTTTGTCTTTTCCATACTGTTTCAAATACCCTTGAAGGTTATGGTCAAGGTCATGGGCAAAGATCTACTTTAACGTAAAATTTCCGTTCTTTACATTTCCGGTGGCAAAAATAAGGGTTAACATTGAAAAACAACTTGACTTTCAAATAGTTTTGTAGGTCAACCAAGGTCACGTTCAAGGTCACCATTATATGTCCCTTTTCAAACCTTACATCTGTGTTTGCTACATTTTTCTTTATGAAACGTATTTTTTCGAGATATTTCCATACTGTTTGGACATCCTCAAATACCCATTAAGGTTATGGTGAAGGTCAAGGGCAAAGATATTCTTTATCGTAAAAATTCCCGTTACTTACATTTCCGGTGTAGAAAATAAGGGTTTCCGTTAAAAACATCTCGACCTTCAAATGACCCTGATAGTCAAGGTCACGCTCAAGGTCACCACTAGGTGTTCCTTTTCGAACATCATAATTTTTCTCTAGTAAAGGTAAATTTTATTTGGATACTGTTTATTTCTTTTGTAAATAAATAATGTGTTGTTACATTTTTCATTATGAACCGTATTTTTTAATATCTTTTGTCTTTCTCATACTGTTTGGATGCACTCAAATATCCATCAATGTTATGGTCGAAGTCATGGCCAAAGATATACTTTCAAGGTAAAAATAAGTGTTTCCATTAAAAAAAACTTCTTGATTTGAAGTTCATTACAACATTCTTCTCTAGGAATATTAATAATTTTTGTTTCTTCTGTAAATAAATAAATAAGTTGTCTGCTACATTTTTCTTCATGAAACGTATTTTTCGAGATATTTTGTCTTTTCCATACTGTTTGGAAACCTTCAAATACCCTTGAAGGTTACGGTCAAGGTCATGGGCCAAGTTATACTTTAAGGTAAAATTTTCCGTTCTTTACATTTCCGGTGGCAAAAATAAGGGTTTACATTAAAAAACAGCACGACATTCAAATAATTTTGTAGGCCAACCAAGGTCACGTTCAAGGTCACCAGTATATGTTCCTTTTCAAACCTTACAACTGTGTTTACTACATTTTTCTTTATGAAACGTATTTTTTCGAGATATTTCCATACTGCTTGGACATCCTCAAATACCCATTAAGGTTATGGTGAAGGTCAAGGGCAAAGATATTCTTTAACGTAAAAATTCCCGTTACTTACATTCCGGTGTAGAAAATAAGGGTTTCCGTTAAAAACATCTTGACCTTCAAATGACCCGATAGTCAAGGTCCCGCTCAAGGTCACCACTAGGTGTTCCTTTTCGAACATCATAATTTTGTTCTAGAACATTTTTCTCTAGTATAGGTATATTTTATTTGGATACTGTTTATTTCTTTTATAAATAAATAATGTGTTGTTACATTTTTCATTATGAACCGTATATATCTTTTGTCTTTCTCATACTGTTTGGATGCACTCAAATATCCATCAATGTTATGGTCAAAGTCATGGCCAAAGATATACTTTCAAGGTAAAAATAAGTGCTTCCATTAAAAAAAACTTCTTGATTTGAAGGTCATGACAACATTCTTCTCTAGGAATATTAATAATTTTTGTTTCTCCTGTAAATAAATAAATAAGTTGTCTGCTACATTTTTCTTTATGAAACGTATTTTTCGAGATACTACTTCTAGATACTTCAAATACCCTTGAAGGTTATGGTCAAGGTCATGGGCAAAGATCTACTTTAACGTAAAATTTCCGTTCTTTACATTTCCGGTGGCAAAAATAAGGGTTAACATTGAAAAACAACTCGACTTTCAAATAGTTTTGTAGGTCAACCAAGGTCACGTTCAAGGTCACCATTATATGTTCCTTTTCGAACCTTATAACTTTGTTCTATATTTTTTCTATAGTAAAGAAAAAAATCAGGAGTCAAACAAGTTGTATTTTTATCTGCTTAATTCGAACAAAATAGATAAATTGAAAAAAGTCAGTGGCGCACAAATTTTTTGTCAAAGATGTTGGTTAGGATGTTTGTCGGGACACAACGGATTAGTTCCATTCTAATAGGAGGTAAATTAGCCCTTCACTGCACTACATACTACTGCTAAAATTGAACAGAATCGACGGAAAGTTTATCAAGATCTTTAGCAAAACCTGATTTTTTTAAAAAAGTTTGACACCCTGTATCTTGAAAATGAAGCATTTCTGCACCAATGTTTCATAAGCTTTTCCTCTGGAAATTACTCAAACAATCACCTCCTGAAGTTTGGCCACATACTTAAATAATACCCTGTATAATAATATTAACCAATGACCTTGCTTTCGGAGAAAACTTTCCAACTGGTTACCTGAACAGTGTGTATCGGAAACGCAGATGTCGGACAGCAGTGATCCACCAACAATGACTGGTTCTGTAAAGTGACGGGTTGAGATGTGTTATGAAGATTGCACCGCAAAGCCTGCATCTCCAATGCTTGGCTGAGCAGCTCGCGCAGCCTGTTAGGCGGCAACATCACGGTTGGCGGGAAGAAGTATTGGAGTTTGTTCATCAGCAAGCTACGGGACTTTGTTCCTTTACCGTCCCTGAAATAGATTATACTTTACTGTGTAAAAAAACAGGAAGATAACAGCAACAAGGAGGAGAACTCTGAGGAACAAAGTATGTTGGCATATCAGTTGAAGAAAGCCAGATCGCCAACCGACCGTCTATGTCAAAGAACTTCCAGATTTCTTAAGCGTCATAAATATTACTATAGCTTTATTATTCATTTTATACATAAATGATTTACCAAATTTTCAGATAAGTGTAACATTCAAATTTTTGCTGATGACATTGATATACCCAAAGGAAAAAACATAGATGATGGAACAGAAATGTTTCACAAAGTTTCGTTATATGCTTAAAATTAAATAATTTTTTAACAAATACAGCAAAAACCAAATGTTTTATATTAGACAAAGACAAAATTGAAAATGGTCTGATCGAAACTGTTAATAGTTTTAAGTATTTAGGAATTTTGGTCGATTCAAAATTGAGTTTTGAACTTAATTTGGTATATGATAAAAATAGTTGCAAGGGTAAAGGGTTGTCCAATAGGGACGCAGGAAAGTAAACGTCAATTTGACATAGACGCCATCTTTGTTTTCTGTCACCGACATGTCATTTTGTTAGTTGAATGTTTACCATTGATCGCCATGGAGTCGTATTCGATTGAAGACCGCATTAAATTTATTCAAGAGCACTACAAAAATGGTGCAAAAATAAAAAACACGTGTCGCGCGCTTAGTGAACATTTCGGTCGCAACAACCGCCCAAACGAAACAACCATCGGTCGTCTGGTGCGTAAATTCGAGGCAACAGGTTCTGTCGCAAATCTGCCAGGCTCTGGCCGGCCAAGGAGCGTTCGCACACCGGAAAATATTGCTGTTGTGAAGGAGAGTGTGAGAGACGATCCGAAACAATCAACAACGCGTCGATCCCAAGAATTGGGCATTTCGAGAACCAGTTTGCTCCGCATTCTCCACAAGGATTTGAATGTACACGCCTACAAGATCCAATTGACGCAAGAGATGCGTCGGGCTGACCATTTTTCGCGCCGAACGTTCTCAGATTGGCTTCTTGAACACCGCCAAAGTGATGCCAATTTTTCATCAAAAATCATGTTCAACGACGAAGCGCATTTCACTTTGAATGGGACGGTAAACAAGCAAAACTGCCGCATCTGGGCGAACGAAAATCCCCGTGAGTATCAAGAGCAGCCGATGCATCCTCAAAAAGTGATTGTGTGGTGTGCATTGTGGTCAAAAGGCATCATCGGACCTTACTTTTTCGAAAATGCGGCCGGGGACGCCGTTACCGTCAATTCTGAGCGATATCTCGTGATGATAGAGGACTATTTTTTGCCGCAACTTGAAGGAATGGATATGGACGATGTTTATTTCCAACAAGACGGTGCAACATGCCACACAACCAACGTCAATATCCATCGATTGCAGTCCTTCTTCGGTGATCGCGTGATTTCGCGCAGAGGAAATGTGCCATGGCCACCAAGATCGTGCGATTTGACTCCCTTGGACTTCTTTTTATGGGGATATTTGAAAAGCAAAGTGTACGTCAACAAACCATCCACCCTCCAAGAACTCAAAAACAACATCATTGCCGAGATAAATGCCATAGAACCGACCATGTTGCAAAATGTCATTGAAAATTTCGACCATCGCGTGGACGTCTGTAAATCCAGTCGTGGTGAACATTTGAGCGATATTATTTTTTCATACATAAATGGTATAAATGTACCTTCAAAAAAAAGTACCCAACTTGATTTGAATATCAATCTTTCTTGTTTTAATATGCGTTTACTTTCCTGCGTACCCCCATATAACTAGCAAATTATTAGTTCAGAAAGGATTACCTGAATTCAATAAACTGAATAATAATATAAAATCTACTTATACTTTAAATATTTTCAAAAGGAAATTAAAGGAATATTTCATGGACAGTGAAAATCCTTAGAGATGCAAATTTTGTTTTTCGAAATATCTGTATGTTATGTAATTGTAGTTTTTTAGAAAACTGTAATTGCAGCAATCATGCTAAATTAAACTTAAACAACAAACAAATTAAGTTCTTATTTTATTCTATAAAATTTTATATTCAGCAAATTCTTCAATAACTGATAGGCTACAGACGACAAAAAAATAAAGACATGCACACCTAAGAATAAAATATTTGTTAAATTAGTTAAAGTGGTTAGATGTGAAAACTTTCATCAAGTACCTTGATATAACATTTGTTTGCAAAATTACGAATACATTATTACCAAAATATCTTGAAGAACTAATAAGCTTAAATTGTATATATCATTCATTTGAAACCAGAGAAAAATTTTCATTTGAATTCTAATATACTAAGTGACATATAAATCCGAACACCCAGTTTAAATGGTTTTATTTTAATAAAATTTTGTATAAGTACTTAATGAAGCATAATAAGTAAATGATAAAAAATTCAAAATGATTGCACTGCTTTGAAGCCCTTTGACCTTTAATAATGTGTGGATGCACCCTGATGTGCTACGCATTCTCCAACGCGCCTAGGCATGCTTCTGATCAGGTGGTCAATGTCCTCCTGTGGTATCTCATTCCAGGCAACCACCAACTCCTCTCGAAGTGCTTCTAGAGTCTGAGGAGGACGTTGCAAATTGAGCAATCTCCTACCCATCATATCCCACACGTGCTCAATTGGGGATAAGTCGGGAGATCTTGGTGGCCATAGTAACAATGTGACATCATTATGTTGAAAGAAGTCTATTGTGACTCTTGCAACATGTGGTCGGGCATTATCTTGTTGGAAAGTTGGATCTGCCAGGGTGTCAAGATAGGGTAAAAGATGGGGTTCTATAACTTCGTGGATATAACGCTGCGCGTTCATGTTACCTCTGATGAAGATTAAAGGTGACCTGGAACCATAAGCTATAGCACCCCAAACCATAACTCCAACGTCCACGTCACCTTTTAACCCTGGCACGACCATCGTGCATGCCTAAACAAAATCGAGACTCGTCACTAAAGACAATACTGTTCCATTCCTGATCCCAGAGTGACCGTTGTCTGCACCACTCAAGGCGATTACGTCGGTGTTCTCGAGTTAAAGGGAGGACCCAGTGTGGCCGGTATGAAAACAAGCCAAAACTTCTCATTCGTCGGTAAACACTTCGCATGCCAATAGGTCTTCCGTGTTCTGCAAACCATTCATTTGCAATGGACCTGGTAGTGGAGAAACGGTCCCTTAAGGCCAATAATCTTAGGCGGCGATCTTCACGGTCTGTTGTTCTACGGCGGCGTCCAGTGCCCCTTGCTCTTTGCGTACGGCCTTCTCGAAACCATGCCTGACAACACCTAACCACAGTGTCTACACTTCTTCGCACTCTAACTGCAATTGCCCGAAAAGAAAGTCCAGCTTCCCGAAGTCCCACTATACGCCCCCTATCAAACTCACTAAGTTGACGAAATCGTACAGGTCTCCGTACTCTAGGCATCGTAACCGATCGTAAAGGATGTCAAGAACCAAAATCCGCCAACGTTGATTCTTTACTGCGGCTGAAATATTCATTTTTAGAGCGTAAGTGAATTAAAGAAAAAGCAGCATAAAAACCGGAATGTCCAAATGATAAGGCTGAAAATTTTTTCACTTGTTATTTACAGTAAGATAAATACATTCACCAACTTTTATTAAAATAAAACCATTTAAACTGGGTGTTCGGATTTATATGTCACTTAGTATAATTATTTCAAAAGTTACGAATCCATTTTCAACAAATGTCTACAAGAATTTATCCAATTGCCTAACTATTATTCAAAAACAAAAATCCTTAAAAACATTGCAGAGGGAATTACACTTATTTTGTATGAAATCGATGTATAATGTTTAATTAATTTGTATATACGTATAGACAGACAAAAATTTGCTTTTACGTAGCCATGACAGCTAAACATCATATAATATCTTACCAGTTGGTGCGTCCTCGCAATTCCTCGGTGCTAGAACACATCATGTAACTTGACAGCTGGTGAACTCTGCCTGTGTTGTGCTGCAAAGGTGTCAGTTCATTGCGCAGCACATGCAAGGCGTCCAGAACGCGTCCATCTTCCAGATACTCCAGGTACTTTTGTTCCAGAAGAAGAAATTTCATATCCTGAAACAAAGTCATCTGTTAAGTCATACCATTTAAAGTTCCATTTGTTGTTGCGTGTGCGAATCGTCTGTAGGGCTTTTGCTCTTGGTTGAAACGTTGTAATCATTCTTAAGCAATTAAAAGAAAGAGATGGGAGAGTAAAGAGGAGGACATTTGTCACTTGGTGGGGTGCCTTAACATTATTAGCTACCAATCAGAAATTTATCTCTAAAACTGAGTGAATTAATTTTTGGTTTGATCCGTGTAAGCAAAGATTAAAAATATTGATGTTATTTTTGCGTTTATATTTGGAACATGAAATCTATTTTTAAATTCTGTGTTGTGACAGCTGAGACAAACTTTACTAATCGAAATTTAAATGAAAGTGTAATAGAGAGAGAATCGAACATCTGTAAGGATAACAATAATGTTACCTAATTTTTAGAAAATGTACTTTTTGATGTGTTTGCTATAAGATGCAAACTTAATATCACACAAGCAATGATTCTAGCTAGAACAAAACATTCTATGAAAAATATTCACTATTAATATTTGTCAATGTTTCTCAAGAAGGTTTGACGGATCTTTGCTTTTAGATCAGAAATATTTACCAGAACATTCGTAGTATCTCCCAGCAACATTCTAAGCTCCTGCAGATCATGATCTGCTTTGGTCCAGTCACCATCCATGACATGTTGACGAAATTTTGCTGCAGCTGGGTGATCCAGTCTGCAGCCCGATTCTGACATTAAAGATTCACAGGTCCTCCTAGAAAATGGAACCAGGAAGGAAACAATAAAAATTACAAGTTCAACAAAATAAGATAGAATAATTATACAGGGTGTCCGCAAAGTTGGGGTTTTCCTTTACACGACGTGTAGATCTTGAAAACATAAGCAATTTTTCTTAGTACCATATACACCAATGTCTTAAGGGAACCGAGATAAAGGGCTCTGCAACATCAAAAATATCTGAATACCGTCCTGTAGCCGCGACATCCCCGACTGGTGCTAGGACACTAGCTCAACCCGACGACAGAACTGGGTCGGGGTCAGTGTGTCAGGTCAGTATGCAACCTTCAACCGACGGTTACGGTCACGCGTCTAGAGGTAATCGCGTAGACGAGAATCCCTCAACAAGCACTAGAGACGTGGCTAGAGAAGTGCAAGTATCAAAAACTAAAGTGTGTCAAACGCTGCGTGAAGAGGGGCTGTATCCGTTTCACGTCCAACGTGTACAAGCCCTTCAACCTGACGATTTTCCAGCAAGAGTGCGGTTTTGTGAGTGGTTGTTGCATCAACATGACAATAATCCGGACTTTTTGAAGTGCATATTGGTGACAGACGAATCTACGTTCACGCGTAATGGGGTGAATAACTTTCGCAACACTCATGTTTGGTCAGTAGAAAATCCGCACGCTGTCCGTCGGGCACATTTTCAACAAACATTTTCGGTGAATGTTTGGGCTGGCATGGTGAACGGTATGCTCATTGGACCATTTATTCTCCCAAATCGATTGGACGGGATGCAATACCTAGACTTTTTACGCAACATTTTGCCTTCATTGTTTGCCTGCGTCTGCTCGGTAGCGCATCAGCTGATTTCATTTTCTGTTGGAGCGGTATGATTTCGGGCAGAGACGTACTTAGCCCTTCTCGTCAACTGGAGAGTGAGTACTTTTTCCTTTATTTTTTTTTACTTGGTCGCCCTCGTCTCACTACACATCACCTTTGTTATTTCAAGGGTAGTTGTTACTGAAAAGGAAAACCCCAACTTTGCGGACACCCTGTATAAAAATAGCTCCTATGGTCGTAGTTTCTAGAATTTTTATATTAGAAACTAAGAAGCATAAAAGTGTGAATTCATAATATTGTGTGATATATTTTAGATTTACTTCTCTAAGATTTATTTAGTATGAATGCTACAATTACTCAATTACTAGCGATTATTGAAACACTTGTTTTGATACTAACCATCAAACATACTTAAAAACAGAAAAAAATATGGAAGAAAATTGATTATTTTGTGCATTTCCGCACACCATTCAACAACTAGTCTGTGAAGTTGTACTTTTTTTGTGCTAATTCTACAGCTTTTTGTTATCCTAAGTATTCTACGTTAAGCAATAAATGTTATCTAACATGGGTCAAAAAGGGTGTAATAACATGCAGTTTGTTTTCAAACTCTCTATACATAAAAATGATAAATCAATGTCCTCCATTATTGGTTATGCACATTGTTGTTCTTAAACGGCAGACCATATACGTGTCAGCCCTAATTTCATATGCAGCAGTAGGAACCATTTCAAGGATGGTGAGGTAGCACATTGTAGGGGGTGGATTTGTCAATAAAAATAACTGAAAATATCCCCCCTCAAATAGCAGTATATTGTACCACACAGCATGGTCTTAAAATCACTCAACTTATTCCACAATACTTGATGAACACAAACTAATCCTCTTCTGACACGAAAATGTGTGCTAAACTAATGTTGAAAAGAATTTGTCTACATATTTTTGTCCCTCATAAAAAAGTGCTTATATTCAGACTTGTATTGTGTTCTTTGCAGATAATGTGAAAACAAGGAATTTAGTTTTTCTACTAATATGAAGCAATGAAGTATGAATTCGTTTTCTAAAGGTATTTAGGTAAATATTCGTATTTGTCTATATACTTTTGTCCATTACTGTATGTCTGCTGTCTTTGTGATATCACTTTTAACTGTATTGTTCCTGTGATTGGGTATATTCTGATGGAATATAGATTATTATTATAAAATAATTGCAAACTTCAGTTTTGAAATTTCTATTTTAGAGATTACTGCCAAAGACAATTTAAACCTTATTGCTTTCAGTTAGGACAGTCAGGTTTATTGTATTTTTTGAGCATGAAAGGAAAAAACACTGACAAAAATGCATGACTGATGAGAACACTTACAGAAAAATAAAACAAAAGGACGACATGTTTCGCTTATGAACACATGAAGAACTGTGTGGTAGAGTAAAGAGTGAACAAATTCTTCAAAAAGCACTTAGTCATGTTAATAGTCTCTCTATAAAATATTTCTTTACCAAAAGAATCCAGATACTTTTTGTAAATATTGATGAATAAGTATCTGCAGATACTTAGATACTCTATTAGACTATGATAACTCTGAACTTGGGCCACCCTGTATAAGGTAAATATTCCTTTTTAAGGTCATTCTCTTGCGAGGACGAAGAACCCGATTTTGCGCCTTACAAAAAACAGATTAAAAACACCACACTGATATCAATTACATACAAAAACAAAGCACAATAAACTTACATGAGCCCCTCATTTTTGAGATACTGCCCAATCAGCCTGACAATCTCTTGACTGGTCTGTGTAAGAGCGACTTCAGGGGAGTCCCCGTCGGCCCCCGTGTGTCCGTTTTCGGCGGTCCCGTTGCTGCATGACGGAGTTCCGTTTTGCACGCATCCATTGTTAGGGGACTGCATCTCAGCAGGCGCTGGATCGTCGTCGTCAGCCTTACGGGACTTTTTGCACGGCGGGGATCCACCGTCTTCTCCCGACGACTCACTATCCAGACTTATTTTTGCTGGCCGGTTGGACCGCTCCACGTCCAGATTTGCTAACGCTAACGGAGAACCGATTTAGAAGCCTTTGTTTTCAACGGTACATCTATTACGTCATTACAATTCCCGAGATTTATTTGCTTTATTCATCCACGAAACTTTTGCTTTAAGTGCGATTAATCGGGAACATGCTCAGGGGAAAACCCCGGTTTTGGCTTGAGGGATTATCGAGGATTTTTGAGAGAAATACACCACCCAAAAACAAAGATCAGCTGAAACTTCACAACAGCTGGTTACTCTGACGCAAAATGCGCAGCCGTGAGATGGAATTTTCACTTTTTTGGTTTTCCTTTGTCGTCTTTGGCCTTGGTTTTTTATTGCGAAAATATTGACAAAATTAAAAGTCCGATGATGTTTGCGGAAAGTTAGTTGGAACTGGACCAAGAAAATCCAATCAACGGAAAATAGATTTGTGGAAAATTTGTCAACTCACGTACTTTGATGTCACTTTAAAGCCTTTTTTTTTATTTTGACAAATAAATGTCATCTACCATATGATTGCTTCATAGAACTGGACTGTAAGCCATGCAGAGCAAAGACAGGAAAGTAAGAAAGTACCCGTTCGACTAAAAAAAATGAAGTTACTATAGAATTTGAGATGGGTGGTGGTGAAAGCATTATTGGAATACTTCCAACTAGGAAACTAGAAAGCAATGATACTTTTCTAGCTTTAAATTTGCCGAGAATTAAAAAATTATCTACGCCAATGAAAGCTAGTCAATAACGGAGAACCGAAATTGCTTCTTTTAAATTTTCTCATTTTTAATGTCTGAAACTTATCCTGTTGTTTTCATGCTGACAGTTCACGTACAATAAAGGATTTTAAGCATATTATCATTATATACGGCTCAAATCGGCCAGACAAACACAGGATATTGCCAAATTTTTCTGTACACTTGTCCATGTTTCAATTTTCTGATGACTTTTGGGCGCAGTAAAATACACTTGCTGTATTTCATGTTTCAGATATTTCTAATAACGCTGCAGCATTTTTGCAGATCTATCTGTCCTATCAGAAGCCATATTTACATACATACATATTTAATGCATAATTTCAAACTAAGTTGTGTGAGCACTGAATCATCATTTTTATTATCTTTTCAAAAGATCAGTTAAACGGGTGAATGAAATGGCGGATCGAACACTTGTTTTTTTATCATATTTAAAGTTGTATATCTATGTATCAAGTTTATTAGCAATCCAGTTCTATAAAGCACTTTAGCGCCATCTAGTGGCTAATAGTTTATACTGCTTCAAATAACGTTAAAGATTACTTTTTATATAATTAACCGCCATCTATTGCCTTATATATTCACTTCGTGAAAGGATCTACCTTACCGACTTGACAAGTTGACATCTTACCAAAGATTAACCTAACATTTCTTGTTTACCGCTTCGGTTGTCCATTTTCCACTCATTGAATTTATTTTTTAACTAAGTAAGCTAACACATCTTATAAAAATGGCTACTGCGATGCCAATAAACCCAAAACCATTCCTAAACAGTCTTACAGGCAAGGCTGTGATGGTAAAACTAAAGTGGGGCCATGAGTATAAAGGCTACCTTGTATCCGTAGACGGTTATATGAATCTACAATTGGCGAATACAGAAGAATTTATCGATGGTAGCTGTACAGGTAACGTATTAAGATGATATGAAATACTAATATGATAGTGGTAATTTGTATTTTTCTTCAGGAAACTTGGGTGAAGTGCTGATCAGATGCAACAATGTTCTCTTCATCCGCGGTGCCGAGGAAGATGACGAGGAAGGGGAAACTAGAGACTAACAGTGAATTAATGATTTCTGAGATTTGTTTGTTAATTTTAAGTCAGTAATTTAGGTGGTATGGACAAAGTGTGACGAGTGTACTTCTCAAGTAAATGATTGTATATGATGCTTTGCTGTCTCTTCCCGTATCTATGATGCCTTCTATCCAGCCTCATGATTATTTTGCTAAATATCTTTCAGTTCACAAAAATTTCAAATTATTTTCAATGAGCTTATGTAGGAAAATGTTGATTTTGTATTATTTGGATGGTCAGTTATACCAATAAAACTCGAGCAATTGTACTTGGTTAAATATTGATGGTATGCCTCTTAAACGCAATGGTGTGTTGTTTCCCATTTCATGTTTTTATCGATAAAATTAGAAAACGTCTTCGATGCCTAAATCGTGTTTTCCGATTCAAAATTCCATAGATCAAGCAAAAGAGTCCTTAATTAGTCATACCCATCTCTATTCCGCATTAGAAATCTGTTAAAGGGTTCTGTTAACGATCATTGGTAAAATACTTCACCAGAAGATGGCGCCGCATGCACTATTTGGAAGTTGATCTGAACAGATTACATAGAATATAAATTAATAGTTATTCATCTATGTAGGGGATCATAGTTATTTATGTGTCTAGGGTATTATGGGCGATACTTCTCACTTTGGGCTCTAACTTCACATCGATGTGTTTAAGACGTCAATAATATAAACGCTTATGCTAAGAATGCCCGAGATGCATACACAATTTTATCTATCATCGAGTATAGAACAAAACTTAGAATAGTCTTCAATTTAGCAAATAAAAACAGACTGATAAGCACAGATCAATTTAAGGATAGCGTGCGGCAAGTAACTTTGGCATAATACGTAAAGAAATCCATGATACCGAAATTGTCTTTTATATCGGAATCTGGGTAAATATGTTTTGTTGTAGCTCGCCTTAAAATGGAACTTCATAGATTGGAAGTTCGCAGGTAGGTACAATTTCAAAGTAGCTTTAAAAAAAGGATTCGTTTTACCTGAATTGAATGAAAGAAATATTAAATACTGAAGGATAATCGTTGGTGCTTGTATAATATAGACGAAGATATAACGATAAACGTGAAAACAACAAACTCGATTCAAAGTACGTATTTCCAAGTACCTCCCTGTACCATTTTATTTCATTACAAGTGCAGTAGGTACGTGAACAATTCGGACGGACTGTGTTTGAAACATTTCTTATGCTTACACTTTACACTTATTATAGAACCTCGCCTAAAGAACCTAGCATTATGGTTCAATCTCTAAAAATAAGGGAACGTGTATTTTATGTTTTCTGATAAGATTGTAGAAAAATATCGCCACGCGCCGCCTGATAGCCACAATCGGAAGATCAATGCACTTCGTGTTTTAGTTATTTTGAAATCCATATTGATAAACAATATGATCCCAATTAAATTTATTGGTTACAATGTTGCAAAAACTGGATTCATTTTATAATTTTCAGGGTTAAATAACTTAAATAACAGAATGTTTATGTCTTTACATCAGGAAAATCCATATCTAATTATTATGCTGACAGTTTGAACAGCACTGTGGGAGTAGCTAGGAGTTATTTAAACAATTTATGATGATATGTTTCTCACTTGAGTGAAATCTTTTTTGCTTCTTTTTCTTGTTTTGTTTTTTTCTGTAAATAGAACCACCTACTGTCCTGTAAATGGTTTCAATAAACGCTTTTTATTTACTTATTTATCAGAGGTCAAAAATGCCATTTTAAAACATCTCCTAAGATCGACAATTGCTGATCAAACTTGTCTATAACTGTCTGATGAAACATCTTATCAAACCTAGGATATGTTTTCTATATTTTTTTCTGACATTGCATCTTTTATTAGCACCGAATTTTTACATATACATATATCAAAAGATGAATGGCGCAACATCGTAAGCAGCTTTGCATCAGGTTCCTGTGAATGAAGTTAGATAAGGAGTCTTTCTATATTCGGAATCAAATTAGAGTAAAATGTATCAGCAGTTTTCGTTTTGCTGGGTAACAAGAAATTGATTGAGGTCTACGTTTGTCAATGACGTCAATTCTATGCATCTTCCCAATATAACTTGTCTGATGCTGATAGAATCGATCCAAGAACCCCTTCGTTCTTAGAAATATCTCGAAATTCAGGTCTTTTCATAGTGTTTGGTTTAGCAAAACGAAATATATCGATTTCAATTTTTAAGCGCGTGATGGATATACAAATATCACTAATTTAACAAAAATTGAAGGATAATTCTGCAACTATAGATGGTCTTGGACCAAGAGATGTTAAATTTAGTTTTATTAAGTCTTATAGTTTTTGCGATGTTCAGTTAATCTCATGCCATTTCTACAAATATCAACTGTTTTGAACCGGGGTTGTTTTAAAACATTCAGAATTTAGCATTTTACCTCGTCCAGCATTATTTTTTCTTGAGTTTCTATTTGAAAAAATAAAGTTAACCTTGAAGATGAAGATCAAAGTCAAATTCAAGGTCACGCTTGAATTCGTTGCTGAAAACTATTGAAGACCTGACCTTGCTCTTTCTCAAAAGTACCTTGCCCGAGAAAATGCAGATCCGTTCCGGGACTTTTGTGCCACGTTTGTTTGTTTACAAGTTTGGGAGGTTATGCTGCTGTTAGGTGGTGTGGTATGACGTCAGGGTACATTAATATGGCGGACAGCCGTTTCACCTGTCTAAGAAAAATATATTATTAAATTAATGATTTGAAATATAGTTTTAATGTTTTTGGTCTAATAATAACTATTTAAAACCTAGTTAAAAAAATAACGTTATGAATAAAATACTGATACTCCGACGGAATAAAAATATTAGAAAATTCCGTTACGAAAGATTCTCGAGCCTTTTGGCACATGCGAATTTGACTCAAGTAGCAAGGAAAAGCGTCTCTCAAACCGTCACTGCCTAAATCTTTCCGTCGAAAACGCTGTCTGCACCCCTCACACCAGGCAACAGGTCATCATTAAATATAACGGATACGACAACAGCGAGACGCATATTAAAATGTCATTCGAATATTCGAGCCTCTCGAGGGATGACAAAATGACAATCACCGTTGTCATCCGGCCTACGGATTAGCCAATAAGTCAACAATCGTCTACTCTCACCCTCTCGTAAAATAATTGTGACGGGTGGCATTGTTCTGCATGCAAGAGTGACATCCAGTGTCGGGGGCAACAGAAGTATGTAATGTGCTTTCTACGAGTAGTCGATTCAATAGGTCGCGCTCACTAAAACGAACTAGTTCTAGGTACCAGTTCGCGAACGATTTATTTTGCACAAGAATGATGTCAAAGTTTGCCTATCCAATTCGGAGCACACAGCCACTAATCAAACTTAGATGAGGAAAAGTTTCATAACTGGAAGATTAGTGGCAGATAGGTGTGTTAAGTAAGAGAAATGCTGTCTTTATTACTGAAGCAACCATCGAGGCACTTGGACATAACATTGACAAGTTTCCTATAAGCAAGTCCTCTATTCAAAGAATTCATACCGAAAAGCTAAAGAGATATATAGCTTGATTTCCAAAGCGAGGTACCGGATATCGTAGCTGTTCACTGGATTGACAAATTGTTGCCACCTTATATGCACGCAAGTTAAAGAAGATCGTCTACCGGTTGTTATAAAGCACGATACACGCACACTGAAGATAGGATGCTGCGCATGTGGGCGGACGTTCGTGACGTCACCTTGAGAGTTGTCGGTTCGTGGTTACCAGCGGCAGGATTGTCGTAAAGTTTCTGCAGTGCGCGTGTATCGTAGTTAATATTATACATCTAAGCTAGTAGATTTTTGCATGTGATGTAATGAGTCAGTTGAATACGGGAGATACTCATAAGTCTTTTTCTAAAAATAGGCGATGGCCCCGACAATCCGATCATATCGCCTTTATCGCTTGCCAAAGGAGGATAAGTACCTCGTTGTCGTTTCGTCACCCAGTAAGTGACTTTAATACTACCCTGACATTGTCGCCCATATCGAATTGTTTACGTACTGCCCGTGTAGTAAAAATGAAATGGTACGGGGCGGTACTTAAAAATCCTCTAAGATGAGATGTTTTCACTTTTATCGTTATATTCGCTTGCCGCCATCACGACTACGAATTGGTCATAAAAGGCGTGTTTGAATCAGAGATCGACCAAGAGACCACAAGCCCTGACGTTCCAATGTTTAAAAAGTTTCGCGAAAGCTGGAAAAGTGTGGATCCCGAGAAAATACAGATTTATACTGAAGAGCTATCACGCCTGAATATTCCAGAGATTGACAAGCTAGAAGCACAGCCGACGTCAACTAGTCAACTAGTTGACGTCGGCTGTGCTAGAAGTTTATTGATATGAATTGACCAAAGAAGTTGCTAGAGCCGTCTATCGAGAATTAATAAAACTTTCAATAATATTCCTTGACGCGTTGACCGAGATACAGAGAAATAATTTAAGATTCCACCGCTAGGTGCCATGCATCAAGTTCCATGGATGGCCAGAGCCATCTATACATTAAAAATACCGTGTACTAAGTTCCCAGCTGAAACTTTTTAATAAGGATAAGGCAGATATAGTTAAAATCACGAATGATGACTATTACGTCGTACCATAAATTGTAGTGAAGTAATCAATGGACGTACGTCGATGATAAAATCACGATGTCAAGAACATAATGACAACAAATTTATATTATGATTTTGCGAAGTTAGGTTATTTCACTGACTATTTTTATTTCCATTTTATTTCAAGATTTTGAGTGATACCTTAATAATAATTTTAGTGGGGAGTTTTTGTTTTGAAAAAAAAAACAGTGTGTAGAATACCTTAAGACAGAAACACCAAAGACCAAAAAGTATCATTCGAAAACAACCCAACCTGCTTCAACATAACCTAACAATCCATCTGTCAAATATTCAATCATGCATCAGGAAAACATCGTCTATCTTTGTCCGATGCATGCAAATTAGCAATACAGTTTGTTTAGACAATAGAATTCTGTTTGTCTCTGTCTAACATATCTGAAACTTCATTAAAAATATTCACAAATCGCTGTCGTTTGTCTCTACTACAGAAACCGTGGTTGCAATGCACTTTAGCGGTAAAACCACCTTATCGTTCACCGATCGCGATAATATTTAATTGTCTCAAGTCCCGTTCAGGCACAGCAAGTAAAAAGTGCCCGTGCCCGTTGACTGACTGATTTCTCCCATAGGCAAACAAGGAAAAAGCATACCGGAAAATTCACCTCACCGATTTCCGTTTGCTCTCGAATAGATCTGCATGAGAGGACCCGGAGCGGTGCATTTAC